GGTTATAACACAAGCAGGTATTGCAGAGCACATGAGAAAACTAAGCTTATAAGGGCACTAGTAACAGGGCAAGAATACCAACAATATATCTAAAGCAGTACCCGCAATGTGATATACGTATGTGATCACCTGTACCACTTGGTCTTTGCAGTATGCAGGCTGCACTATCCACCCACTAGTAGAATAGCTGAACACTACTGTGACAGAATGAATCCCAATGCATTCCATCCATGAAATGTCTTAAAGCCCTTTTGTGATATACATGGGGGAATATGGCATAGAAAGGGTTTAATCTGCATTAAAAGCTTTTAGAGAGAGAAACTTGGTGGATCTTCAATTTGTGTTCTATGATCCCACACAGATTAAATTACCAGTGGGATGTGATTGTGTATCTAAAATTAATTTGATAGCAAAGCTTTAAATGTATCTAAAATGTATTTGAAAGGAATTTGACAGTAAAGTCTCTTATTTGAGCAGAGATAACCACTTCCTCTGTGAATGACAATGAGGTGGGAAGCATTTTGCTCACATTTAGCTCCGCTCTCATAAAGACCTTTGTATATTATCATGCTGTTTATATTTATACAGTAGTAACAATGAAATGGTTATATAGCTTGCTTGTCCTTGTGGGGTTTTCTTGATAATGATACAAGTTTCATTTGTAATACAATTTATATTTGTGCTATGTAGGCTAGGATTTGCTGGATATAATATGTAATGAAATGAGTTCAGTCTTCAGGGTTGTAGTTGGGAGCCTGTTATTTTTGTTCCCTACAAGACCACACCCAGATAGTGGACACCATTAATAATAAAGTTTTGTATGTCTCTAGTTAAAAATCTGCAATTGAACTCTCGATATATTTTAACCTGGAATGGCTTAATGTCTTAAGCTACTCTACCCTATATGGGGAGGAATAGCAGCCATATATAAGTTTGTATGTGGTTTGTGAAATTTTCTATGATTAAGGCCCAGGTTGTGGGCTGAAACGCATCAGGGGTTTTTACTTGCTGACTGTTTTTTTTTAAATTGCCAATATAAAAATAAAGGCCTGGGGATTTATAAAGGGTCCCTCATGTGTTGGTGTTTACCAGGTCTGGACTGTGAGGGTGATGGGAGCCGCGACCAAGCACCCCTGTGCATTCGGACATGCAGAGGTAGAGCTGCTATGCATGTTTGGATATGTCCTTTTAGGAGTGCTACCTTTTTTCGATGCCCAACAATCAGTGAGGCCCTATGACACACTGTGTGGTGCACTTTATTTTGCCCACATGAAACCAGCCCCAGCATGAAAAGAGCTACTTTTGTTGTGTTTGCTTACCAGGTCGAAGGTTTCCAGTTCTCCCCCGATCCTGTGGGCACTCTTAAAATGATCCAAGGCATCTGCTCTATGGACATAGGCCTCCTTAGAAATCAATGTGAGCCAACATTTTAGTGTATAGGAAAATAGAGAGAAGTAATGTTCATTTCAAATATTAACTCCATCACTAATACTGTCTAACCACCCTCACAACATCTTTTTAGAGGTTACATTCGTCTCCCTTAGAGCCTGTGTCGATGGGCTTTTGTTTGCTTGTGGGTTTTTTTGCCCATGCAAGTCATTGGGAATGCAAAATTGGCTTAAAGCATGTCAAATACAGGCCAGATGCAGGTTGAAAGTGCCTGTCCATGAATCCAGCATGATCTGAAACTGGTTTCAAACCGATGCCATTGACGCAAGCCAAAAGTCCATCAACAGTGGTTCTTAAGAACATCCTGCTGGTTTCCTCTTACTTAAAATAAGCAGCACGTAACAAGAAAGACGATGCTTGAAACATTATCACCCGTTTCCTATTTACCACAGTAATATTTGAACTTTCATATCCATGCAGGTATGGTGTTGTAGCGTAATTAATGAGAAAATATGAATTTTGCTTACATAAAATGACCCCAAGAAGGCCTTTGTTGTCACGTGTAATGTTGGGGAGCTCACAAGAGAACTCGCACAGGGCTTTTCCATCAAACCAAAGTCTTTATTTGTTTCTCTTCAGGCATTCTGTGAAAAACAGAAATGAAGGCTTAACTTCAGCATATAACACAAAGTAAAGTTCACTTATCTTCAGCAAATAGGGTATATTGTCTCAGCGACTCAAGGTTGTCCTGTTCACTCACAGTGCCCCAGGATTTTAACGTTTGCCTCAACAAAACGCCTCAGTGGTACTTCATACCCTTTGGCCACTTTCAGCAGCTTTCCACGCACCTTGTGTGGCCCTCGTGTGCCTCCTGCACACACCACCTCTCCCCTGAGTTCTGGTCTGTCTTCCTAATGAGGCTGCTCTTAGCCACCTAATTAGTTTAGACTGCTCGTTGGCAACACCTGGCCCCAGGACTGGAGATTTAATCCTACCCAGAACTCTAAAGGTGCCCATACACCTTACGATTATCGTACGATAATCGTATGCGATCGACTTTTCGTACGACAATCGTAACGTGTGAATAGAGTGCCCGACCGATAGTACTGTACAATCGTACGACTTTTGACGGTCAAGCATGTTTGAAAACTTTGATCGTACGATGTTCGCATGGTTGGTGGCGTTTCCGTCCGTCAAATGTCGTACGATTAACACTGCGCATGCGCAAACGAAAATAATTGCGGTCAATTACCGCAAGTCGTCCAGGTGTTTTTTTCTAACTACCGCTGATTGAACACTGCGATAATCGGGGCAGGATGGGGCCGTCGTACGAAAATCGTACGACTGTTCGATAATCGGACGAAAAGTTTAGTCCGATAATCGTAAGGTGTATGGGCACCTTTAGAAATCTCCAGAACTCCAGATCCCAGCTACAATTAGGAAAACCTGGAAGAATCTGAAAAGCCAGCTTCTTCCTTATAAAATTGTTTACATTCTGGACCCTCTCAGCCCCTCGTGGCCAAAATTGGCAAGCTACTATGTGGCATTGCCATGCACTGCCACACAACTCATTACCTACCTCATTACCTTTTTGTTGTCTTTTTTTTTTTTACATTATTGCAGTTTTTTGTTTTTGTTTTTGTTTTTTTTTAATTTCATGACTGAAATTAAGAGTATTTATTGTGACACCGTGTAGCCCTGTTGTGGCAGTTTAGCCTAGAATTCATCGAAAATGCTGGAGGGTGAGGGGAAGAGCACTGAAGATTGTGTGTGTATTACTGCATGGTCATTGCCAAGTAGAGCAATCTAAGAAGTAGGTTTAGCCTGGCCAAAACTAAAGGCCTGATAAGCCTCTATTAATGATCTGGTTGCATAAATAATCTCTGACCGTGTTCTTTGAGACAAATAGGTTAATGGAAAGGTTTAGAAATCGAAATGAAAATGCAGAATACTATTATTCATTTGTACAGAGCAGAATTACAAACATACACATTTTTTATTTTATTCCTGTTCTCTGAAGAGCATGCCAAAGGAAAATAATATTATTATTGTTTTGCTTTTTTTAATCTGGATTAGTTTGGTAATTGCCAGGGTTATTCACAAAAGTGTGAAGAGTTTGGAGAAGGCAGGAGAAGTGAACAATCTAGGCCAAAATAGCCGATTTGGAAAAATTCTCTAATTCAGTTCAGTTTCTAGTTCAGCTATGTTGTCCTAGATTGTTCACTTCTCCTTTCTTCGAACTCTTCACCCTTTTGTGAATAACCCTGTGTATTATTTTAGTCAGTCATGGTAATGCAAATCATTTATTTCTCAATGCTGGGCATAAACCAGAAAATAGTTTTCTTTGTAGTCATATGTTAAATGGCTATGAATACTTATTGTAAAAGTTAAGTTACATAGTTACACAAGTATCTGTAATTACTGATAGAAGTTCCTAAGGACATGTTTAGGGAACATTTAGAAAAAAAAAGTAAATTGTTAATTATTATTATTATTATACAGGATGTATATAGCGCCAACAGTTTGTGCAGCGCTTTACAATATAAGGAAGACATTACAATCACAATACAATTCAAGGCAAGATGGTAAGGTTAATGCTGAAAATAATGAAATACGCAGAAGAAAAACATATAAGGAAGCTTTTTGCCTCCTGCCAATGTGTTTTTATTTCTTCCCATCCAGTCCTGAGATTTACACAGCTCTACAACAGAGCACAGCCTTGCTTGGTAAGACAGACCTTATTTTTAATTTAAGTAACAATTACAGGTCTTGTCCCACCTCCAGCCTGTGCCTGGACATTGAGAGGAGAAGCAGCAAATAGATGATCTCATCTCTCTTTCTATCAGCATGTTAATTGCTGGCACATAACTGCAGCAGAATTGATTGGCTCCCTGTGCTGCTCTTCCATCTTCTAGTTTGTGTCCTGCTTTACCGGGATTGTAAGTAGTGATGGGCTCGGGCATGTTCGCAGATCCACGTGCCGAGCCCGCCAGGAAGCTGACAGCGCGCAGCGTCAATCACAGGTACTGAGACATTTTCCCTGTCCGCAGCTGCAGAGATCGGGAGATGTCTCAGTGCCTGTGATTGACGCTGCGCACTGTCAGCTTCTTGGCGGGCTCGGCATGTGGAGCTGCGAACACGCCCGAGCGCATCACTAATTGTAAGTGGTATCACATCAAACTCAAGTACTTACACTGTTTGCATTTAAAGAGACAGAGTCATCATGCCCTTGCTGGGAAGTAACAATCTCTGCAGAAAGGGCTTTCCTCAACCTTTTATACTTACCTGTGCTTCTCTGCAGCCAATGACACTACTTGGCACCTCCAGGTATGGAGGAGATTGAGGCCTACTCCCCTGTGACGGTACCTGGGTATAGCAGCCAATCGCTAGACTCAAGCAATGTCACATGACCAAGGGAGTGACAATCTCAGCGCCTGCTGGAGAAAAGAAAGGAGGAATTATCAGTTTTGGCTCCTAAGACATTTGAAAGGCATTGCCCTTCTTTCATTTCATTTTTATTCGGAAGTGAATTTTCTTACGATGATGTTATTACCTTTATATCGATGTATGTTTGAAAATAAAAGTCTTAATTCTGCCTCTTTTATTTCTAGCGGATTTTGGTGTTTCTGCAAAAAATGTGAAGACACTGCAGAGAAGGGATTCCTTCATTGGAACACCATACTGGTAAGAAAGTAAATGTCTTCATAATTTGTGGGGATCATTTTTCTTTTTTTTACAGAAATGAAGGTGAAATGGCAGGCATGATGTGTATGTTCTAAAATGAATGAGTTGCCAAGTTTATATCCTTCTTGTAAGCCGACCGCATATTTTGCAATCTGTTCACTTTAAATTCAGTTATTCAAAGAATGGATAAGCTAAAATATTGCACATGAACTGCGTGTCTCCTGTTCATATAACTTTACAGAAAGTATATATACAAATATGATTCAGTGGAAGTTATATTATAGTGCTAGCTGCACTCATTTCTTTATGCTGCCCTGTTAATTGATGTGTAGCTACTGCATTTTTTTCCTTATGTCAAGCAGATGAATAAACTGACTCCACTAAGGGTAAGCAAAATGATGGTGAGGAAAAAATGGGGAACTTTTAGATGCTCATAAGCAGGGGATCCAGGATGCAAACATGACACATGTTCCTAGAAGAATCCATTGTGAGAATCTTCCAGGATAGTGGCAGAAAAGATTTGCTCGACTCCAGTGCTGAATTCATGAGCCAACAGGCCAGAGATAACCTGGTCCTGTGTGTCCAGTACTGATAGGTCTAGTTGCTGAACCTTTTTGTTCCACACAGCCAGAATGTTGAGTTGCAACAGTCTGGAGTGGAATTGGGCAAATGGGCCTGCCTCAAAGAAGGACCCAGAACTCTCATGCAAAAGTGGAAACTTGGACAGCTCCTGGACTGTAGGGTCTGGATCTGGGAGCAAAGAGTTAAGAGTTTCACTTGTGGAAAGAAAACTCTGGATCGAGATATTCAAAACAATAAGTCAGTTCCAGCGCTGACAGTTCTCTCCATTTTGCAGTTTCCTATGCCATCTCTACAGTTTGGTCATTTGACAGTAGACCAACCTTATCACCTCTGTCCACCAGGGCTAATCAGGGCAATGGATTTGTAAAGCTAAACTAGGAAACACTGTAGTCTTTATCTGCCCCACTGCAGAGTGCGATTAATAACATCGGTTAACAAATCTGTATTTAGCGGTTTGCCTGGAGTCCCACCTTAATGTACAAATCCCTGTTTTCCCATAAATGTAGTAGAAAGAAAAGAAACAGAGGAGCCCTGTGTCATGTTTGGTGTATTACAGCTGGCATCATGTTTTAATATGAATATTCTTTTTTTATACTGGAGTTGCAGAATATAGCTTTACACTTAGGTATGGAATAAAACATTAGCAGTCTTCTAGCTGCTCAATTGGTATACAATGTGTTGCTGTTCACGGTGCATCCAATACAAATTAAGTGGTACATTCTGATCACTTTATTTCATTGGTGTTTTCATAGTCAGTCCCTATTCCTGGAAGTAATGGCTGGTTTAATCTGAAATAAATGGCTTGTTGTTTTGTTATATATTGTAGCCTGTTGATATCCAGATGTGAAGAGAGAATATTTTTATTATCAATATGCTTTTCATTTGAATAGTTAGATCCTATGCCAAAGCCACTTTGTCTATTCTCTCAGCAGCCTGACACAAACGAAACAAATAGAAGATGCCAAATAATTTATTGATTCTAATGTCTAAACTTCTGTTTCCAGGATGGCCCCTGAGGTGGTGATGTGTGAAACTATGAAAGACGCTCCATATGATCAGAGAGCAGACATCTGGTCTTTAGGGATAACGCTGATTGAAATGGCTCAGATTGAACCCCCACACCATGAACTTAATCCAATGCGTGTCCTCTTGAAAATCGCCAAGTCCGAGCCACCCACACTTGCTGCCCCTTCAAAGTGGTAATGATTCTGAGTTTTATTTATTGCATGGCAGATAGGTATTCACTACATAATCAAATTCATAACCGGATATATTGCTAGAAATTCCAAAAATATTTTTCCTCTGAACGTACTACTTTGTAGAAGCTGGAGGAATCTGCTTTGTATTAGTGGTTGTTGATGATCAAAACACACATTTAAGTGTTGCTGGATTTGAATGTGTGTTTTGTTTATAGAGCGTTTAAAAACGGGGGGGCGAGCGAAACAACCGAATTATAAGAAATATGTGTTGAAGAACCCGAAACAAAGTTGAGCAAGGTAGTGAGGAGGACTGATGGTATGCAGAATGCAGTGACCTGGAGCAACCAATCAGATTTCAGTTTCTCTTAAAGAAAGACTGTCGTCTGACCTTTTCAACTTAAATCTTTCCATAAAATTATGTGCTAATTATGTGCATTTAACATAAGTTAGGCAGGCTTATTACCTGTAAAAGCCTCCCTTGTGTAGACATCCAAAAGCCCTGAGTGCTCACCTTGGATGTGATGTCAGCGGACTCAGAGTTGTCACTTAGGTGGCACTGCAGTTTTCCGCTACATTCCTCCCCCAGGTGCTATGTAAAAGGTTGTTTAGGGAGAAGTGGAGAAGCTGGGCCAGCACAGACAGTAACTAATCATTCCTAAAAAAGAAGAGGACTAAGACTTGCAAGAAATGACAGGGTTGTATTAGGGAACTGATTTTTTCTGAAGTGTTTAGAAGGCACATTGCAAGTCAATAAAAATGTTTTATTGAAAGGAAAAATGCTGAAAGTAAGCGGTGAAAATATTTGATTTTTTTCTGTGATTTTACCTGCAATTTGTTTAGGTGGTGACGGGGATGCTTTTTTTGTACATTCTTTATTTGTCCACATAGAGTAACAGATGTTCAAGTACTTAAACATTTGACAGTGAATGCGGCACATCAACTCCGTAGCACAAACCGAGAGAGTACAGGCCCTCAAAAGGGACTCTTTTTAAATACTTCAAAAATTACTATCTTATGTTAAATAAAGTAAATATGTGTGTGCTATCCTCTTACGTGCTGTTATTGTGCCCCATAATGCTGTTCTGTGTATGCTTAAATATCTTCAGTTCCGTATATTATTAGACAATCCGATTGTTCAGATGCATGTCTTCTGACTTATTGATCTCTGTTGGTTTAGTTGGGAGCCTTTTCAGACATGCTAGGGAAATGAGCAAGTGAAAGAAGAATGCTTCGAGCTTTGGTCATGTTTTCTGTCATATTGTATCTGTAATGACATCACCAAATGTTTGTGTCATTGGCAGGTCTCCGGAGTTCCGGGACTTCCTGAAAATATCCCTTGATAAAAATCCTGAAACAAGGCCAAGCGCAGCACAGCTCCTGGAGGTTAGCCAAACATCTTCAGACACAATGAGTGCTATCTACAAAATCTTGAAGTTTTGCTAATATTTTTCTTTTGTTAAGCTTTGAATTAAAACTGCAGAATGTCTGCTAATGTGTCTTTTAATATGGAGAAATCAGAAGGAATTCCTGCCAAGGATATATTATATCATGGGTGCACCTTATTTTAGATGGTCCAGTGATATATGTAATATATCATGTTAATGATTGGTTAAAAAAAAAAAAACAAGCACTGCCAATAGTTAAATACAAAAACAAACACCCACCCCTCCCCCTACCTCCTGACCTTCCCCTTAAACACACATTACTCGCACACAAAATTGTGCAAAAGTAGACGCACATTGCAGTATACATATTGGGTATACACACATAAGTTAGGGGTTTCTGAATAATTTTAGGGACTAAATGTTTAGTGTAAATCTGATGCCAAAATGTAATTCTAATGAAGTTGCACTATTTTAGAAAATATATGGTCTGTTCAAGTCTTTTACAATCTTTAAAGGCTGTAACATGCAAAATTGATTCAGCCATGAGGTGCATGCAGCATGAGAGGCAGTGCTCAACAGAGAAATAAGTAAAATTGAACTCCAGGAAATTTTAACACTAGGGTTAATTGCTCGTTTTTGTCTAGGGTAAATTTGGCTTTAATGGTACCCTAGACAAAAATGGGCATTTAACTCTTTGCAACCCTTTTGCGTTGAGGGAAACCCTACTGCCAGAGTAGATTTACATTTTGCCCAAAGTTCAGCTGTAAAGTGCAAATTAGGGATGCACCAAAATGTCGGCTGAAAATGGTACTTTTGGCAAAATTCCATTTTATTGCAGTGTATGCATTTCAGTAGAAAAGCAGCAGTGTGCAGAATTTCCATTAAAAACTGACTTTTATTTGTTTGCTTTTTTATTTTCATTGACCCCCAGCTCCTCTTGCAGGCGTAGACAAACAGTCTATCTAGTTTAGTTCTGGCATCTCAGATGCCAGAGTTAAAGATTCTAAGCTGGGTAATGCTTAAAGTGATCCAGCAGCTCAAGTTCCCCCATAGCACAATGATGGACTACTGATCCAATTAAAGCTGAACCCTGGGCACAAAAACTTCCATTTTATTTCCCATTAGCCACAAAGGATATAAATCCACCAAATGCATCTGCAATCTTATATACTACCTAAGAAAAAAAAGCAATGACATCATCACTGTTCTGCACCTAGCCTGTGTAGAGAGCAAAGCTTAGTTGTAAAGTGGAAATTAGGGATGCGCCAAAAATTTGTCCGAAAATGGTACTTTCTGCAAAAAAGCCACAACAGGCTGCTTGCAGAAAATTAAGAGAACTATGGCCCAACCTTTTTTTTTTTTTGCCAAAGTTCTCTTTAGGGTCCAAGGAGGACATATACTAATGACCTCCTGTGACCCAAAACTCAGCATATATCGGGCAATGCTGACACCCCATTGCCTAATTGACAGCTCTCTAGAGGAAGATTCAGCTGTGCCCACCCCCTCCCCAGTCCGTTCCTTTAGTTAGCGCTGGAGGAACGGAGGGGTGGGGGTGAGTCTCTGCAGGGAGAAGATCGGGAACTCGGCGGTATTGATCAGTTCCCGATCAATAGAGCCGGTGTGTGACAGCTTCAGTGTCGCACATCGGCTCTGATTATGGGGATGAGTGTATTTCACTGGTGGGAGGATACAAGACCAGTCAACCTGTACAAGGAGAGAAAGCAGCAGGGATTGGTCTTTATTGCAGGAAACTCCTCCACAAAGGCAAAGTTTTACACTGGATAATTGCACAGATCTGGAAGAAATACACTAAGCATACCAGGATAAAACAAAGATTACACATGCATCTTGTATTTAGACAATATTTGTTTATTCCAAAGTGTAGCTTTAAACTTGTATGTCATTTAGAGATCCCAGGTTATTAGATGACACAGATGACACTTTACCATGGTGATATGACCGCCTTGGCCACTGCAATCCAGAGTTGCTTTGCTTTTGTATTTTCCTAGAATGTGCAGGGTTAGCCTACATCATTTTGTATAGGTTATGATGTGATATAACTCAGGGGTCATCAGCTTTTCAGGAGACAAAAAGAACAGGCTGTAACATGCGAAAAGACTAACCCCTGGTGGTTAGTTGAATCAAAATAGGTTTATTTTGTTTAAAAATGCATATAATTAGAGGAGGGGGGTTCGTGCCTGCCCAAACAGGGTATGATACCCCCTTTTACTACCTCCTTCCCCCCATCCTCTCTGGTCCTTTCCTTTACCTGTCCCTCCTACCATCCTTAGTGCTCCCCTCTTAGCCTCTTCACTTCTCTTTTTCTTCTTTCTCAATCTCTGGGATTCCTAGTGGTACCTGGCATTACATAACATTGAGTCAGCTTTCAGGGGGAGGGATGGTGCAATATATGTGTAGGTTGCCCTTCCTGTGCCGATCAATTCCACCAACATGGAATGGTTGATTTCCACATGAGCTATTTCACTGGACAGCTCCTGGACTCTTGACTTTACTGTTCATATGTGAATGTAGCTTGTACTGTGCCGCTGTTGGTCTCTTTTTTTCAGACTGACCACGTTTGTCTTGCTGTTATTTTACAAAATATCCACCCCTTGTATCTTTTTCAATTGAAAAAATAAAAAAAAGCCTATCATTTGTATAACATATTGTTAGGTTTGCACTTTGTTGGGGATCTCTCTGGTTCTCCTATTATTTACATTGGGAATTCCTGCTTTTGTTATGGTACTTATCTTGTGTATACAACTAGATTATTAATGTAATTTTATTTTTTACTAATTGCTTCCCAGCATCCATTTTTGAACAGAGGCATCAGTGCTCGAGTTTTGAGGGATCTTGTAGCAGAAGCAAAAGCTGAAGTATTGGATGAAATAGAAGAAAATGGAGAAATGGAGGAGGAAGATTCACCAGAATCAGTTTCTGTAAGCTGCCATCTTCATGTTTAAAACTCTTAGAGGGCCAGCCTTAAAGGAGATCTATGAGGTGAGTGATTTTCACTCAACCTCATAGTTCGAGCCGACGCGTGACAATGAAACTGTCACACGTCGGCTCAATAGATCGGGAAGTGAGCGAACACATAGCATCGCTCGCTCACTTCTCGATCATCTCCCTGCAGAGAGCCGTGACTTTCACTCACGGCTCCCTGCATGGATTCCCCCCTCCCCGCACCGATCCTCCACTGGCTGGAGGAACGAACGGGGGAGGGGGCGGGTACAGCTGGCTCTGCCTCTAGATAGGCAGAGCCAGCTATCACTCACGCAGCTGGGTGGATCTCGACAGTAATGTCGATATCAGTCCCGGCTGCAGCGGTCTCAGTACTGAGCTTTGGGTCACGGGAGGACGCTAGTTCTTAAGAGATGCAAGAAGCATGTGTAAAATTATCATCTATCTAAATCTGAGCCTTTACATGTAACACAACAGTTATGCCACCCACATAAACCAAAGTGTATCGGTAGCGCTATAGCCAAAAACACTTTTTTTGGGGGTAGAGTAGGGAAGGTTTTAAACCTTTGCCAGTTTGTTTTTCTGTCTGTGTACAATTGGGGAAATGTCCATTCACCTCATTCACCCAGAGCTGCAACAGGAAGTTAGAGGAAATCTCGCAAAGCGAGGGGTATTCCCTTTTGGATCGTTGTTCCCAGAACAGATGTCCCCATTGGAAGATTTCCTCTTTATCTCTTGTTCTGGGAACAACGCTAACATTTTAGATTTCCCCTCACTTTATTTCTAGATGACAATGAAAGAGGTGAATCTCCTTAATGAGAGCACAGACAAAAATGAAAACTTGACAGTGGTTCCAACCCTTCTCCACTCTATCAAACTAAAAGTATTGTTTTTACCTAGAGATACCCTGTAATCACTTTTCTCCCATGTGCCATTTTAAAATGCATAAGCACTTCTTGGTTTCTGTTGTGGTGGAACATGTTATTCAAACTTTTTTTTAAAAACCATAAAAAATGGCACCATTGTTCTAATTCATGTGTGCACAATGCTCATATGATCTTGTCTTTTTACTTATGATTTACACAAAAAGATTTATGTTTTCTTTTGTGTTGTCATCATAACGTTGAAAGAAAATTAGACCTTGGAAATTGAAAGGGAAGGTTTGATTATGGGTCCTTACTGCTCTGGCCCGGTACGTTAATATTGAATTTATGTGGCATCGCTAGAAAATTGCACATTATATTTTGGGGTAAATAAGGTGCCTATGCATCCCATTATGGTACAAAATCAAACAGTAGCTACTGTAACTGACAGGTTTCTAATACTGTATTTCTTACAAGCAGAACAATCCAGGCATTTAAGTGATAAACTGTTGAAGTTAAACATACTTCTTTTTTGTTTTCATTAAGGGACACAGGATTAGTAGTAATCTGTGACAAGTGGGCTTTATACTGCTGCCTTTAGGAGGTATTGAAGCCTGGCAAAAAATAAATAGAAAAGCCTTTGGTCAGCTAGGTATAATTGCTCTCACTCCCAGCATTCATTTGTTTTTCCTAGTGTCCGAGGATGATGGAAGTCTTTTTTCTAGTGAGAAAAGTTTACCCATTTTACTACCCATTTGTTCTTTTTTATTATTGTATTTTTGCTTCAGTCAAGATTTTCTCTTTGTTGCTGGTCATAGACTTTTATGCAGCTATCTGGATTTTCTAAACCTTAGAATAGCCTTGATGGCTATTCCTGTACCCTACCGGACCAAAGACGTGGAACCTGAGTGGAATGTGACCCTGGGGCACTGGGTTCTGCTTGTAGTGCTTTCCTGGACATAGTCCCATGTAAATTTAGTCACAGAAGGCTTTTTAGGTGCAGAGCCGTGGCATTAACTTTGGTTTGCCCGGTCTCTAATGACTCCATTGTGAGTTAGCTATGCAAGAGGTGAAGACAGCAATGTACAGTAAGTACCTTCAGAGAACAAATCTCATCCCTTGTGATTTTATTTCCGTGACTGCTTGCCTCCCATTCTTTGGTTAAGACTTTTGTATAGGGCATTGTGGCTCCTCTTGTACAACCTCCAGTGAATTTGTTGGACTTGAATCTGGTTTTCTCGGCTTCACAGAAACCACCTTTTGAACCTATTCGGGATATTTCCTTGTCCACTCCCACTCTCAAAGTTGTCTAGTTTTCATCACATCTGCCGGGCGTGTCTCTGAACAGGTAACTTTATCCTGTAAAGAACCTTTTTTGATCTCCACAAAGCCTAGAACCTCTTTCCTTTCTAAGATGGTTTCTGTCTTTCACCTCAACCAGGATATTGTTCTCCCGTATCTCTGTCTGAGTCCAATACACCAGAAGGAGATTTATCTTCACTGTCAGACTGTTCAAGTTTATCTTGCATTCACTAATTTCATTAGAAAACAGACTTTCTCTTTGTCCTTCCTGATGCTCCCCTTAAAGTGGAACCAAATTCTAATTTCTTGGGGGCTCAGACAAATATTGTTCAGGTCTATGTTCTTAAGGACAAGGTTCCACCTTTTTCTGTCAACTAGGTTGGCGAGTGCTTCTTAGGCTTTTCAGCATCAGACAGTGGTTTCCCATAATCGTAGGGCTGCCATCTGGTCTTCTGGTCACACATTCACCATATTTTAGCAGGTTGATGTTCAAGCCTCCTCTGATAGCAGCTTCAGCTGTAAGGTCCTACATACTGCTCTTCATGCTGCAGACAGTGCCCAGTTATTGTTATGGTTTTCGGGGACTGTTAGCGTATGGTTCTACTTTTACTTACGCTTTTTTCTACAAAACTGAAGCATGCCGGGAGTGGGAATGCTTATCCCTGGCTGGCCAACGGCTTTTTTTATTTTTTGCCAGTGTGCAATTCCTCCTAAAAGAAAAAATAATTCCTCCTAAAGGCGCCAGTATATTCTAATTGTTTCAGATTACTTGTGATCCTGAGGGGGGTGGGTAGCAATGTTAAATGACAACTTCACTAACAATAAAGTTATTATTTGAAGTAGAACTATGGCTTCCCATTAAAAATGTGCTGCAGCGTTTAATTTTTAGTGCATCTGCACATTAGTTTTTTTCTTACACCTCCGCGCAAAGTCCCAAAAATACCTGTTGAGTCTGCAAGTGAAGTCCACCTAATTCTAGAGAGACAACAATGCTACACTGCTCCTGATTTTAGAGCAGAGTCACCACTCTCATTAAGGGCCCATTCACACCACAACCAGATAATCTCCAGACCGGATTGTTTCCGGACCCAAAATGCATACTAATGTATCCCTATACTATTTCTGGCCTCTGTTCACACAAGCCCACTCCGTACCAGACCAGAAAAATACTGCAGGTCTCATTTTGTCTGGTCTGGAATGCACCTGAAAGACCATTTTAAGCTAAAAAAAAAAGCTCCAGTAAAATCATGGTAAAAACCTAGGGATGCACCGATACTTTTCGAGTACCAATGCCGATACTTGGCATTTTCAGAACTACCAGGGTTTCAGCGGTTGCAGCTGGGACCCGGCTCTGGCTCTCCACCACTGTCCTGAAATCATTAGTCTGTATTGTTTTAGAAAAACTGTCACATGACAAACAAAAATGTTTCAGTACTCGTAAGTACTTGGGCAAGTATGCGTACACAAAACTGGTATAGGTGCATCCCTTTCTTTATATTTACAAAAAAACAATCATATATTAAAACAGAGATGTACAAATCCCAGGAGCTCTGTGTGCTCCTTACAAATGACAGCTGCCTCCTAACTTTTGAATTTTGCTCTAGTCTAGTCTTGGAGCTTGAAAAGTATCGGTACATGTACTTGCACTTGTACCGAGTACTGTATTTGGTATCGGTGCATCCCTAGTAAAAACACCGCAAAATGCAATGCACTGTGTTCCAGATCTGGTCCAGAAAATGGTGTGAACCTGCCCTCAGGCTCTGCAAAATGCATGGCTATCAGCATTGTCATTGATGATTCACTCCTGATGATTGAACCCTGTAGCATGTCAATCAGCATCTGGCCACACCAATTCGAGTACTGCTTTCTGGATTGACAGTGCTACCTTTGTTTTTGAAACCTTAACACTGAGCTGCAGTGTCTGGGAGGGGGGTGAACTGAAGGAGGATTTGGCTCACTTGAGCAAAGTAAAGCAAGTTTTCTGTTAACTTTGAGCTTGTGCATCACATAGTAACTGGATTTGGTACTTGGTTAGACTGTCATACAGAAGTCCTTAGTTATACCTTAACCCCTTCGTGACTGACGACGTACGTCGCCAGCATCGGGGCTGTTTAAACAGAATACAAAAACGATATGCAGGCCTTTATTAACTTTTTTCATTTGCTTCTACAGTACATATGTTGGTAATTCTTTTTACACCCATTTTTCTTTACATTCTAGCCACCAGCAAAGAATGGCCAGTACTCCTATGATATGGAAAAAGATAAGGGCCCTGTTGGCAATGGAATAAAGCCTCTTGCAGAACATTCAAAGGACCAAAGCCCAGACAGCACTATAAGCAGCAAAGCTGACAGTAGAAGTTCTTCAGAGAACATTCACGTAGAAAATCTTCACAGTGGAGAAGATGTAAAGCCTGACATTATCATCATCAACCCATTGGTTGAAGCTGAGAGAAGGAGCCACTCTGCGGCTGAAAAGCATAGCCAGGACAAGGCTAAACAACACCTATCAGTTACATCTAACAATCACAAACCAAAGAGCAGCCAATATGAACGTCTTTCTGCAGAGCTATTTCATAATGGAAGTATCGACTCTCCCTCACGTTTCTTCGGTAGCTGGTCTAAAAGGGACTCAGATTCAGGCAGTAATTCTGCTTCAGACAGTATGGATCTCAGCATGAACCTGTCAGCTGATCTTTCCCTTAACAAAGAAACCGGTTCCTTGTCAGTCAGGGTAAGATGATGTTTACCCATGCCAGTGTCTTTTAACATACCTTAAAGATAAGTGATATTTGCTTGCCTTCCAGGAAAAACTTGATTGTTGCCATTGGGTCATATTTTGGTCATATCATTTGTGCAGTGAAATTTTGTCTGTTTACCTTTGCATTCTATTTCCTACAGGACAAATTAAGCACTACTGTTTTTGCCTATACAGTTTAGTAATCCAAAGGCAACTTCTGGCCTTGTTCACAAATACTTCAGCTTGTATAAGATCAGTAGTTGCAGTAAGCTGTTAACAGAGCTTTTGGCAAGCTTTGTTAAAGCCTTTGAAATACTATTCAGCTCCAATTTGGAAATGTTAAATGCAGATCTTAATGGGAGTACTGTCTCTTTAAACAAGCTTCTAGTAGGCTTCAGTAAGCTTCAGCACAACTTGAAGCTTGTTGAAAGCCTGCTAGCAGCATGTTTAAATTGGCAGCCAGCACTTCCATTAATATCTGTGTTCACCATCCGTATACTGGAGCTGAAGAGTTCATTGAAGGCTTTACTAAAGCCATGTGTTCTGTGCATTTTTACTCAAACTAGAGAACATATTAAATGAACCAACAAAAGAAATATAACAGTAAAATTTGGTACATAAGCAATGGTAGTTTCAATAAAGTGAAAAACTATATTTTCATTCTGTTGTGACCATCTGTGCTTAACATGGCACAAAAGTTTACTGTATATAATATGCCTTTTGCTGGTTAATTTCATATTTTTCACAGAAAAAAAACATTTTAGAATACATAATTCTGTTTACCAGGCAAGTATCAAATACCTCTGGAACGTTTTATATGCACATGTACAGAGGACATGAAAAAAACAAACTGAAAGGGATGTAGCTGACGAGAGATAACACAAGCAATTTTTAGTAGCTCAGTCACGCAACTAAAATCACTAATGATTAATCACTAGGAGTAGCGATCAGTCACTACACAGGTGAGACAAATGTCTCCCAATGGTGAGTTACACAAGTATCATGTAGCAGTGAATAATCACATATGATTGCACAATGCTCCAAATCCTTGTGATTATGATATACTGCTTGTGTAATTCGCACTATTAGGAACTATTTGCTCTGAGTGGCGATCAATCTATATTTTTGGCAAATCATTGCTACGTATTTTAGTGACATGATTGAGCTACCTAAAATGCCTGTGTGCTCATTCCCTGAGGAGAATATTTTGAAGGGAGCACAGGCTTTAAAGCAGGCGTAAAAGAAGCATCATTAAATTGTGGTCCCTTTATCGGTTATCCATCAAGGAGCAGCTGTGTAAGCTTTGCATAGATGACAGCACATTTTAAATACACGTGATATGTTGTTCCTGCTTTCAAGAATTTTGATTGAAATGCTTCTTCTAGAGTGTATAGCCTGGTAGATCACTCTACTACTTCATGGTTTAGCCTAACTTCTGGGATCGACACCCTGTTCATTGGAGGGAGGCAGTGATGCCTATTCACTGCCCATCACCAGTCTGAAGATGACATTGGAAGCTGCAAAGTTGAACCATGGAAATAAGCATGTCAAGTATCTGGCTGTGTATAGTGCAGATGTGTTTAAATGGCTAGATCGGCCTTAACCCTTTTGCTGCCAAGCCCTCAAACACATTTTTGCAATTTTTTCCCATTGTTTTCATATTCTACTGCTGCATTCCTAGCGTTTGTAAAAGACCCCCCAAACCATATATTTTCTGAAAGCAAAGGCCCGGTAGAATAAAAAGATGGTGCTACTAATTGTGTAGGTCCTGCGATAATTACGCAGTTGTTTGGCAAATCAATATTAATCCAATAAAAATACACAATTAAATTGATAAAAGCACACTAAAATCAGTACCAATGCACAAAAAAATACTTTTCTGACTTAATCTAAAAAATAAAACATTATTGAGTTGATAACAAATATTTGTAAATTTTATATTGCGACTTTTTGCAAAACCGTAAAAAAGTTAACGCAAAACTGTAAATAAGCGACTTATGTTAAACATTGTTTATGTGCTGTTTTGGTGTCCTGTGTTGTGATAAAATTATACAGGCGTTAATTTAATCACAACGCACAGCAATGTGTCACAATGCTTTGCCATGCGCTGGCACAGTTAAATTAATGTTATTTTAGAAAGAAAGAACAAGCACTGCGATGTGTTGTAACAATGCACCGCAGCGCATGTGTATAGCGTACGCTACAATATGGTACACACTGTTGCACGTGTATGTTATCTCTGTGGGGGGGAGAAGGGGTTTGTGTTTGTTTTTTTTTCATTTATTTGATTTTTTTTTTATTGTTGAGGCTTCCAGGAAATGTCAGAGATTTAAACAGACTCCTGACATTTCCTTTTTGAAATAGAAAAATAAATTGATGACACAGAGTCCTCAATCTCTTTTTCTGCAGCCTCTGTTCTAAATGAATGGAGAGCACGCAGTACAAATGCTTCCCATTCATTTAGAAAATATTTACTAATTTTACTACTAACCAGTTTCTGAATGGGTAGAAGCCTCTATAGTGAGTGCTTCTCATTGAACAGGAAGTGACATAGTACTATGTGTCCACAGTTGTTTACAAACATTGGACTGATCAGCTGATCACTCCAGTGTTTGCTCTACGCACAGGAGATCTGTAAATATCACAGGTAAAAGCCACAGATGTATGGCACACTGGCCAGCTGCAAGCGATTGAATTCGGCCGTATGCCATACCTTAGTAGTATTTATTTCATAAAACATACATTGTTTATACATCAATATTATGCAGTTTGGCTGCTTAACGGGTTTTACAACAATTTAAAATTATGTTGTTAAAGATTGTGAAATCGTTTTCATAATTCTGGGTTTGCCTGTTACTAATGATAGGAAAGGGAAACTTGTTTACAACTGACTAAATCAAACCCTGATCTGTATATTAGTGTTTCTAGTGCACTAACTCTGAATTTGTACTCTGAACTCTGCATTGTGTACACAAATATTACTGCACTAGAGGTTACTTCTGCCATGGATGCTGTATTTGCCTACCTGTTAATCATTCACCTGGGATGCTGACTTGTGTGTTCACACCTCCACTTCCCAGAATTTCCCCATACTGCTTCTTGGCATTTCTGGAATGTTAATACCAAATAAACACCTGTTTGAAATGACTTTACAACATTAGAATTTGAATAAGTGTTATCTACATAGATCAAAGTAAAGTGAGTGACGAATGTCGTAGCCTATTTATTGTGTGATATAAGTCTCGGGTAGATAAAGATTGTCCGCAATCATTTACTGAGCCTACGGTTAATTTTCATAGCTAGTTTGCGCCACCTTCTGCTTATACAGTATGTGGCACCATACATAAGTTCATAGTAAATGCAAGAATGGGGTGAAGTGCCTTTTGTATTGACACATACCTTAGCTGTCATTGGAGTTGCAGCAGCTTCAAGAGAGCTTTTAGCCATCATTCCTAGGGGGCTGTTCGCTCAGGAGTACTAGAGAAGTGTCTTGACATGAGTTCTACTGACGAGACAAGAGCACCCCTGATGTTTGTGTCATTTATGGCAGTTCTCATTGATGCACTTAGCCAATGCTTATTATGGAAATCCTTGTGTGCGCATGTTTTTGCAATGGTAAAATGCCAGTTCTGTTGTTCTTTTGAATGAAGCTTTTCAAAAGTTATCAAACCTATTACAGATGCACATATATCTTCCAGTACCTCTAGAGATAATGAGCCCTGATTGTTAAATATTATTCCAGTGTGGTCTAGACAGGCAGGGATAAGTTTTTGGACATGCCATGACATCATCATGAATCAAGAAAGTTACATTATTTAAAGCATAACTTTATACAAACCACAGAATAATACAGTTAAAATCCATTATGGTAAACGCTTTCACTTGACTGATTATTTGTATTCTGTTCAGACAGGCTTGTGGCTTACACACATTGGCTATGCAGCACAGCCAGGCAGATGACGCACCTCTTTTCCTGCCTCAGCAATGCATCTTTCTATGTCAACTGTCCACCTCTATCATACGCATTCGAAAATGAGTAAGCATCCTCACTGCTGTCCACTTAGCAGCTAGGTGATCCAAAAAGATGTAAACCTGAACCAAGAACTAGTAGAGTAAGGCCCATGTCACACTAGTAGCCCTGTCACTGGTGAGAACTCACTGAACTCAACTAACAGAAGTGATGAGATGTGCAGTGAAAACACTGATCTGTATATATGTATGTATGTATGTATGGCTGTCTGGATGAGCAAGGCTAAAAAAAACGCTGTACAATGTAATCTGCCAGGAGTGACTTATCCAGCTGGTGAGGGAGTGACACATACAAGTGGATGAGTGTTTCACTGCCCTGCTGTGTCCTGCATAGCTACCCTGCTGCTGGTGAGAACTTAACAGGATCACTGGTGTGACAGCAGCCTTATAATCTTTCCTGTTCAGCATAGCAGATGCGTGTAAATCACAAGAGTGGTTGTGAACTGAGTAACCAGTTCTTTAGCAGGTAAAACAATAAACCTATATGGACTTTGATTGTGTATACAGCTGTTTGCCTGGAGTTCTAATTTATAGGAAAGTTTGAAATTCATCTGAGATATGTAGCATCCGTTGTAGCAGTGTGGGTCATTCAATATACACAAAATACAGATGTGAAAATAAAAGTTTATTCACAGGAGCTGTACTTAGAAACTTTAATAGAAACATTTATTTTATGAAAAATGACAACTGACAAGTTAAAACATTTTTTTTACTGGACTCCCCTACTCACTTTAAACATTTGAGTGCAGGAGCCTTTTCCTTTTCCACTCATAAGCCCCACAGCAACCTTGAGTCCCAGAGCCTTTTTCCCTTTATAACCTCGAGTCCCAGAGCCTTTTCCCTTTCCAGCCTCGATGCCCAAAGAACCTTTTTTCCTTCCAATCTTAATTCCCAAATCCCTTTTTCCGTTCCACTCAAGTCTTGGTACCTTTTTTCCTTTACACCCTTGGGTGCCAGAGCCTTTTTTTCACTTTCTCCTCTCAAATCCATCACCGAGCCTTTTTTCACTTTCTACACTCAAATCCATCACAGAGCCTTCTTCCCTTTCCACTCTCAAATCCATCGCAGAGCCTTCTTCCCTTTCCACTCAAATCCATCGCAGAGCCTTCATCCCTTTCCACTCTCAAATCCATCGCAGAGCCTTCTTCCCTTTCCACTCTCAAATCCATCGCAGAGCCTCCTTCCCTTTCCACTCTCAAATCCATCGCAGAGCCTTTTTCCTTTTCCACTCTCAAATCCATCCCAGAGCCTTCTTCCCTTTCCACTCTAAAATCCATTGCAGAGCCTTCTTCCCTTTCCACTCAAATCCATTGCATAGCCTTCTTCCCTTCCCACTCTCAAATCCATCGCAGAGCCTTCCCTTTCCACTCTCAAATCCATCGCAGAGCCTTTTTCCTTTTCCACTCATCCCAGAGCCTTTTTCCTTTTCCACCCCTTGGTGCTTGAGCCTCTTTCCCTTTCCACCCTTGGGTCTCAGAGCCTTTTTTCACAGTCTACCCTTGAGTCCCATAGCCTTTGTTTTTGTTTGAAAGATGTGTTGGGTTTGCACCTTATAACTTTTAGCTTTTGTCTAACCTGAAATTATACCATTTTTTTTTTAGAAAGGTTGGGCTTTAATTTGGTAGTAGATTTGTATACATATATTTTTATTTCCTGAGTTTTATTTGGGGTAAATGTAAAAAAATCGACTTTACTAAAACTTTTCCCAAAAGCAAATTGTACGCCATTTGCACATTTTCAGATATTTACCACAACATAAAATAAATAAAAAAACCTTAGACTTAAAAGGACATAACATAAGTGTCCCACTTTTTTCGTAACGTATCAGAATAGAAGAGATTCATTAGGAGAGATTTTGACCCCTTTTTGCTGTTGCTTTGTGACGCACACTGGAACAAGAATTGTTTGACTTAATTGTTAGTGTAACTTTAGGATAAGATAACTTTTAGGATAAGATCAAGTCTGGTGTGTGCAGATAAAATTTAGCACAGCGGTGACATTTAAACAGTTCTTATTGACATTCTACTTACCAGAGTGTTTGATATGGTTGCTGTGAACTGGTGATTAATGGGGAGGAGGGATATTTAAAGTTGAACTTCAGTCAGACTACTAAATACACAATTGAAATACAAGTATGGGGGTTTTTACCTGGCAAACAGTTTGTATTTCCCTCCATTTGTGCCTGAGATTTACATACCCCTTCCATAAAGCACAACCTGACTTCTCTCTACAGCAGGTAAATGATACAACTAAGTCTTGCCTCTGCCTTTAGGCCCCATTCACACTTGGCAATTCGCAAATCACGCGTTTGTCGCGCGATTTGCATTTTGCGCGATATCGCGCAAATGCTTGCATCAAAAACTATTGGATCGCGGCAAAATCCGCTCCAAAAAGGGTCCTGCTGTAGCGACACACGACCCGCGACAGCAGGACCCTTTGCCCCATTGCAAAGCATTGAAGAGCGATATCGCGTGGTAAATAGCCGCAATATTGCGGGAATTACCGCGCGATAGATCGCTCAATGTGAATGGGGCCTTAGGCTGCGATTGGACAGTGAAAGAACCAGGAGGCTGATGACTTAATCTATATTTTGTTTTCTCCTCCTGTCAGCATGTGCCCTGGACACATTAGCAGTGTTGCACAACTGATGAGCTCCTTGTGCTGCTTGTGCATACCCCAGTAGCTCTCTCAGGTCAAAATGATTTATCTTTAACTATACAGTTAAAGCTGAACTCTGGGCTAGAGAAAAGGTTCACCTTGCAGTAGAACCCCTGGACACTGCAAGGGTTAAATGATAAATAAGGTGGGAGGGCCCTCACTGTTTTCGCGTACAATACAGGACAGGTGGTCTTGCATTGTATGTGATGATGATGGAGAGCAATGACAGATTGAGCAGCAAAGACCAGCGCTTTAGGCGGCCAGTTGTATGGACAGGAGGAAGCCCTTATTCCTATCTCAAAGAAAAAGCAAGCCTTTAGCCCTTGAAGTGCAGAGGGGGTCCCAGCTTTCTCCACCTGGAGTTCTACTTTATTGATTTTTAACCCTTTTGCTGACAACTATTTTACGCCTGCTTCCCAGCTAAAGTGATTTTTGCAGTGATTTGCCACCCTCGTCAGCCCCCCCTGTTATGGCAATTGAGTTAGGTTTAAAAAAAAAAAAAAATTTTTGTCTAAAAGCCCCCATGTACGTGCACATTTGAACATTAAAATACAGTAGTTTTTCATGGGTGTGTGCAATTTCGAGGCTTGACATGCAGTATTTGGTATTTACTTGACATAACCTTATCTTTTAAATATTACCACAAATAGCTATGATATTGTTTGTTTTCTCCAAATATATTTTGAGTGTATTTTTAATTAAAATATACATTTGATAAGCACAATTATTGTGTGACATAAAGTGTGACCCAGTTTTATTCCAAAAAATATATACTTTCAGGACAAAAAAAAGGTTTGGGGGGCTTAAAGTAACCTTCAGCCTAAATTTTGCTTTTTAACATGTGCAAAAAAAGAAAGAAAATGGCTCTGGCAGGGAAAGGGTTAATGAACACATACCTGCCGGAATCTGTGTTTTATCCTCTGATTGAAACCGGCATTGACGGTCTTTATATTGATGTTGGATGTGTTTATATGTAATTAGTTGACTTGTTAAGAATTCTCTATTTTCCTAGGCAGGACACATCCTTTTTTGTTTTCATTAATCTGGTATTATGTCTGTCTATGAACTTGGTCCTTTATCCTTCATCCTGACAGGATTACACAATAGTGCAAGAGGTGTGCTCTTATAAATTATGTAAGGAAAACACTGCAGGTTGCTCATCTTCATAAACAATGTATGCCTTTGGAGCTACTGGTGTGTTGCTGCTTAGTTTTTTGATAACCAGAGTTATTTTTCAGTTACCTCTGTTAGTGGGCATGAAATAAACTATAACTCCATTTTGCCTATGTGTCGTAGGATTCTCGACTTCACAGCAAAACACTGAAGCGTACCAGGCGATATGTAGTTGATGGTGTTGAAGTGAGCATTACAACCTCGAAGATTATTGGGGATGATGAAAAGAAAGATGAAGAGATGCGCTTCTTGAGGTACACGAGATCATTTTGTTGTTCACTGGTTTCTAAGACTCACTTATACATGTAGTTGGTAAGAATAAGATGAATCGCATGAAAGGGAACATGTACACAGAGGGGCACTGATGTTTGGAAGGCACTAAATGCCATTGGAAGATCTTATTTTTCTCCTAGGATTAAATGTACAAAGTAGTGGAGAACTGGATAAGAATGTTAAAAGGAAATCTATAGTAAAACAATTTGAATGCTGCTGTGGCTGAGGTCTCCTAAATGCTAGTTGTCAGGCTGTCATGTTAATACAGGGGCTTCAATACTTTGTGCAGCTAATCTGACATTTTAATCTGTGTGTTCGTTTCAGGTCAGTGACTCGGAGTATTGATGTCAGAGACAGAAAACTAGTATTCTTAAAAGAATATCACCAGTGACGGCGCTTTTCTGTTGAGGTTTTTTTAAAGTGTATATTAGGACAAAAAAGAAAAACTACATATGTAGTACATCTATACAATACATTCAAATTTTCCCATATTTTATCTCTTTGAAAACCCTCATGTACAGAAAAATAACTGTTGGCCCCTGCAAAAGGCACTGAGCTCCTAATTTTCTGTTGTGGGCGGACAACACATGCTTTTTCTGGACTGAAATTGCAAGAAATTGTATTGGCATCCCTAGATGTTTGGCATCACTACGAAATCTCCCTTCCCCACTTCATCCTCAGTAACATAGGGGTGAAGAATTTTGTAGTCAGTAGAATCTTTGAGATATCCTAGGACACGCAAAAAATGATCAAAGGGAAACATGGAATAAATATAACTAAATTATTTAAATGGTATATTTTAAAGTGAATGTGAAGTATGCAAAAATATTTTCTTTTTTTTAAGTTTTGAGTAGAGTGCAGAAAGTAGTTTTAACCCATCAGGTTATTTTTTGTGGTTGTTTTCCAGCTGGGTAGATTTCCTTTCACTCCCTGTTCTGAAGTTACAGCAAGAAATGAGAAGAAATCTCCCCAGTGAACAGACTTCCCTTTTTAAATAGCTGTCACAGGAACAGGTGTCCCCAACTTTTCCCTTACATTTTACTCTGGATTTCCCCTCACCTTCTTGTGTGAATAGTCACCAAGAAGATCAGAGGGGTTATTATCCCCAGTGAGGACACAGTGAGGGGAATTTATCAAAACTGGAGCAGACAAAATCTGGAGCAGCTGTGCATGGCAACTAATCGGCTTCTCTCTTTCATTTTCAAATCTTAACTGAACAAACTGAAGAGAGGAGCTGATTGGCTGCCATGCACAGCTGCTCCAGATTCTGATTCAGTTTTGATAATTTCCCCCAGTGTGTGGTGATGTACTGCAGTGCGTTGCGTAACGCATGCATTGTTGGGGTGCCATGCAAAATGGCACTGCAGCACACTGACACGCATGGTATAAATAATTCCTACAATCTTTAACACAAGATATTTAGGGTACTTGAATTAATTTTTAAGATTCAACTCCTGCGCTTAGTGTCACTTTAAAGAAACAGCTGTCAATGGATTCTACCACCATGTGTATGAGACAAAGTGAAAATGTCCAGTGATTTTAAAGTGCATGCAAAGGCCAAATCTCATAATGTTTTACTAATCATGTTTTATTCACCTCAGGCGCCAGGAACTACGTGAGTTGAGGCTCTTACAGAAGGAAGAGCACAGGAACCAGGCCCAGCTGAATGCAAAACATGTCTTACAGCAGGAGCAGATGATACGTCGCTTTGAACAGGAAATGCATGTAAGAATCCTTTTCCTATTAATATCAGAAGCCCTCTCAGGTATTTGGGGGTTAGAATATACTAGAATTTATATTTTTGCCACACAGAGATGATTCTGAAAAACACAAAAATAGTTTTACATAAGGTTTTAACATCAATATATCATATTTTGGAGGTGAAATCTGTAAGATTTATTTAAATTATTTTATCTATGCATGTTAGACTTGAAAAGCATCACAAAGGATAATATTGTCTAGTGGGAAATAAGTGATAAGCAGGGTCAGTAAATCTTAAATACAGCCTGGTTTACAGTTGCAAGAAAGTTTGTGAACCACTGGGATTTCCTGAATTTCTTCAAGATATCATAGACAGAAACATTTGTACTTAGAGACTTTCTTGCCAGACTAGTTCAGCAACAGTCTTCCAATAAGATTCTACAGTATGTACATCTAACACATTTAGTTCAAGAAGTATTTATTAAGAGTTTAAGAAACATACAGGTAAAACTTCACAGAAATCAAAGTCACAGCACAACAACATTTGAAGTACAAAGGCGCAAAGTCTTGGGACACGGTCATGGCTACATAACCCCGGGCCAGGGGGACAAGTAGATGGGACAAACATCACCCGTACGGGTCTCATCATTCATCTAACACATTTAATGCAACTTATTTATCAGTACAAGCCTCCCTTGTGTATGCATCCAAAAGCCCTGAGACTGCTGCTCAGTGCTACCCTCTTGGATGTGATGTCAGCAGACTCACACGACACTCTATTGGATTTCTCTTCACTCCTCACCCAGCAGCTGCATAAAGGTTATGTAGGCATGTGAGGGCAGGAGTGGAGGGGCAGAGTAATTAAGCACTCCCAAAAAAGGGGAGGTTTATGACATGTATTCAAATTCTCTAGCAAGTTCAAAGCACATTGTAAGTGAATAAAAGTTATTTATAGAACTTTAAACATTATGTCCTATACTGTTTTTTATTAGAAGCTTACAGCTATGCAAAATTACACCATGGCTAAATATGCTGTGCTTTGTCGATAGATATTCCTCCACCTCCCCATTTTTTCTAGATACTTTTTTTGAACTGGGTGGACCTGGGGTGGGGGTCAAGCTGAGGAGAGTGTGACGATGCCATCCCTTCCACACCCTTCCCTTCCACACCCTTCCCTTCCACACCCTTCCCTTCCACACCCTTCCCTTCCACACCCTTCCCTTCCACACCCTTCCCTCCCACACCCTTTCCTTCCCTTCCTCACCCTTTCCTTCCCTTCCTCACCCTTTCCTTCCCTTCCACACCCTTTCCTTCCCTTCCACACCCTTTCCTTCCCTTCCTCTCTCTTTCCTTCCCTTCCTCACCCTTTCCTTCCCTTCCTCACCCTTTCCTTCCCTTCCACACCCTTTCCTTCCCATCTAACATATCTATTGTTACCCCTTTTGTGCTTTTGTTATATATTGTCCCAGTTTGCCTCACTGACCTTGTCCTAGGTCAGCAAGTCCTGGCACCAAAGCATAAGGAGCCTTTTTTTTTTTTTTTATAGAGCAGGTCACTTTAACCACATTTCCAATGTTATCTCATTGCCTGTAATGTCTGAGCTCAATTACAATATTTATGTGTGTTGTTGCTCTAAAGGTTAACATCCTATTCACATTGACCCTAATTGTGTGTACCAATTGTTTAATTAAAATATCAGTGTAAAATGGTGTTAAGATTAGACTGAGCCACTCATGCAAAAATCCAGGAAATGCCCAACATTTTCCTTGCAACTGTATATAGAATGATGATTTAATTATATTAGTATCTGAAAAAAGTTCAACACTGATGTAATGTCTATTTCACAGTTTTTGTGAAAAGAAATCTTGAGTGCCATGCTTTTTTTCGTTTAATCCCAGTACAAATAAAGTCTCATTAAGCTGGCCATTGACAACTCGAATTTCAGGCCAATTCTTGCTGGCCAACATTTGAGCTGTGGGTGGCCCTGTCAGTCAGGTGGAAAATTGTCAGCCGAACAGTAACTGCAACCTATCAGATTCTGTTTGCCACTACCTAGCTGGTACTAAAGATTCCTCCATCCATGGTGTTTAGCGTGCATGCAGGAACCTATTGAATTTCTCTTGCTCAGCCCATGGGTTGACGAGAAATCTAGCCTGGTATGGCTAGCATTAGCCTTTCTTCCCAGCCCTGAAGTGAATCTAATAATAAAAGTAGATAGAGAGAGGTCCACACAAGTATATACAAGGTATTATTTCTCAAGTTTTGTGAAGATATTTCCATATGTTTGTATAATGGCATGCAGCTGAAGGCTTCAGCTTGTATTTAAGGTTTATTTGCCTCTTTATAAAAAGGGCTTTGTGATATTTGTAAAGAATGACTGAACTTTCTAAATAACCATCTTTAAATGGAAACTAGACATGATGATAAAAATATTAGGGCTGGTAATGATTAAAGTTTTCGTGTTCGATTAATCAAAATTTTTTAAAATAGATTAATCGATTAATTATAACGCACATACAGATCCAACTACATTGGCCTATACACATACAGCACAGCAATGAAGTAATAAAATGAATTAGGATCACACTAATCCAGCACGTTATTAATCTCACGTGCCCCTACTCAATATGGCCGCCGCTGAGTTGCGCAACTCAGAATAATAACGTGCTGGATTAGTGTGATCCTAGTTCGTTTTATTACTTCATTGCTGTTCTGTATGTGTATAGGCCAATGCCTTGGCTGGCGCTCGTGCAGAAAGTTTCTTGGGCAAACTCACCGGCCCAAGTGGCTCCGTCGGCTAAGGAAGGGGGGAGGAATCCGGTGACGTCACGGACATCAGAATAATATAACTTGAGCATGACAGCCAGGCAGTTAGCTCTTGCAGGTTCCATGTTTCTTCTACATGGACTGGACTGTCTTAAAGTCTATAATCAATAAATATGGGTGACATTGATAATGTGACACGGTTATGGCACTAGGGGAAAATAGTCAAACATTTGACATGTCATCCATTCACTCTGATATAATATACAGAATACACTATGTAAACTGTATGCCATATACCCCTATAAATAGGAGTGGTACTATAGTACTTTCTTATAGAGAATGCATACTGACAACCTACTTAGTTTACAGTATGATGCCTACTGTTTTTCTTTTTTCAGACAAAGAAAAAATACTATGACACAGAGCTGGAAATGCTGGAACGGCAGCAGAAGCAGCAGATTGAACGTATGGAACAAGAGCATGCCGTGCGCAGGAGAGATGAGGCCAAGCGAATTCGCACTGAGCAAGAAAAAGAACATAACCGATTCCTTGAGCATCTTAAGTTACGGAAAAGAGAGGTAATGTCGTTATATTTCTAAATTTCAGATTAATCTGATTATGCATTTTACATATTATCTGACAGAATCACTTTAAACAACCTTACATCCTGTTCAGTAGTAGTGCCTTCTTTGAAAGGCATGGGCTATTAGGAGTGGTAGTCCTTTTGGGGGTTAAAATGTGAGGATTGTTTTTTATACATTTCTCGCGAAATAAATAGAACATATGTATTTTATTTATTTTATGTTGTCATATCATTTTATGAAGACCATTTTTGCACTGTCCATTGGAACATTGGAAACGGAAACGCAGAAGTGTGATGGCAGAAAATGACCAAGTGGTCCATTGAGTCGGC